GCCGCCGACACTGAGAGTGGAGAGCTCCTGTCGGTGGGCGGAGTAGCCTGGAGTTATTCTGTGGCGGTGTCTTCTAGGTTTTGGCCCGCCCTTGTCGGGTAGGGAGTGAGAACCGTCTGACGAATCGCTCCGTAACGGCGGCAACATTTCACTCCGGGCGTAAAAACGCCGTTTTTTAGTCGGTCCAATGAACGGGCGTCTTGCTGCTGGTCACGTGCTGCAGCACATGAAACGCGGGAGTGCAGTGCTGCGCCGCGGATCGAGGAGCTCTAGACCAGACCAGGGGACCTGCTAGATAGATAGCGGCAGTCCAGTGTTTTGGGGGGCTTTGTCTGTAGATAGCGGTGCGTGTGGTTGCCGCGAGTGGTGGATTCTTGGGTCGGATCCGGCTCGCGCAATTTTGGCTATGCCAAGCTGCATTTCGACCCGAACCGCGAGCATGTGCTGTTCGTTCGTGTGTCCAAATTCGGGTCATGGCTCTACTAGGAGCCAGCATGTCGAGATCCAGCTGGCATGTTTTGTGCCCAGTCGAGGCGCGGCTTCTATGCACGAAAATATGAATTTTCGCCACTTTCACGACATTTCGCCAGCAGCCGCAGCTTGAGCCGCAGGTTTCTCTCTGGCAGCAGAGAGTGCGTGCGGTCCCCGTGGCAGCATTTCTCCCGAGCTCCTTATCCCTTCAGCTTTCAGATTCCCTCACAGCAACATACCTGATCTTCGATCACTCGCATCTGGATGGTGGAGGTTCGGTATAAGTGCTCTCAATGCATTCCCACAAGAGCGGTTACTGTATCTGCATATGGACTCCACGTTTCGCAGCTTCATCACAAACATTGCATTACATGATAAAATCTACTCTTCTATACCCCTTTGTGAATCGCAGGGAGTGGTGTACAGTACACTACGCATACTCCCGTCCCTTCCCGAAGAACCGCGCGACTCGGCGTCCGAACCGCATTTCTGATTAGCAATTTTCGGTTCGAGTCAGGGCACTCTCGACCTTCCCAGCTCACGGTGAGAGAAGCAGCATCCAACATAAAACCCAACACAAAATCTAAACTTTCTCATCAAACTTTGAGTATCCATTCTTCTGTTGATCACTTTGTTGATCAACGACTGAACACTCCTGCTTCTTCAGTCCGAGACTCCACCTTTTAACAGCAATGGCTCCAATCGCTCGTGGCGCTGTGCTCCTGCTCGTGGCCCTGTCGCTGGCCACGTCCGTCTCTGCCGTCATTTGTCCCTTCTGGGGTGGAGCGCAGCCCCTTGAGCCGGTACGTGTCATTTTGCAACACCCTGAGCTCAGAAAAACTGGCAGCACGATGATTCTTTCTGCAGCGTTCTCACAAACAAAACCTTCTGGCGGTGTGTTTGCTTTTTGACGCGTCGGATCTTTACCACTTATGCCTCTCTAAAACCATTTACAATCACTCATACCCATATGCTTTCAAAATCGCATAGTTAATCTCGAACGCGGCACGTTGAGTCAAATGGGCGGCGCTGATCATTCTGGGGAAAGCGATGCGGTAGTTTTGTATCTACCACTCCCCCCATGATCGTTCCCTCTTTTTTCCCAAACGCGATACGCAATTCCTGCAGGTGGCGAAGGCGCTGATCGCCGTGTGGAACAAGGCGGCCAAGACAAAGCCCGCGCTGCTGGTGGGGCCCTACGATCCCTCATGCTCTAGCAACGGTATCAAGGGTTTCTACAACGGTACCTACCTCATTGGCGCCGCCTCCGAGCCCATCACCGCCACCGTGGAAGGCCAGAATTCCAGTACAATGTTCCTGCCTTTTTGTGGTTGGGTTCAGCAATTTGTCGAACAGCAATTTCAGGCGCGACTCACCTGCAACACCAACGGAAATTTCAGGCACTCAATTTCGCCCCTCACGAAATTCTCCCGCCTGTTTCCAGACTGTTTTCCAGTTCGTCCGAGCCGCGATTGCACATCGCTTCCCAAAATAGCGGTTCGGAAATTCAGCGGTTCGTTATAATTCGACATTGCAGTAAGCCTCGTTTTGTGTACTGCAATTTAAATATGGATGATTTCAGGAACAACACGTAGACGATATTATTTGTTTCTACAATGCAAGAATGCAATTATTAGTTGTAACTACATATTACACTATGTATTTGTTCATCATGTACACATCCGGCTCTTCCGCGTCATACATCTTCACCACATGCACGTGGCGCAAGATGGACGCGATTGGAATTATGTGAAATGCATTCTCGTCTGCGGGCCATCGCAGACGCACGCACCCTGTTGTTGCGTCTATGCCTGACGTCATGTAGTACCTGACGTATGCAAGGTTGTGTCGCACGTTGCGCCTCTTGCAATGGAACAGGAGCATCAACATAGCGTATTCCACGCCACCTCCCTCGCACGAAATTGCAACGTTAGAGAACCAAGGTCTTTTGTAGCTGTCCGGTGTAGCCCTCACAAAATGGGCTTCTTTGGATGACTGAGTACCCGCATCAGCCGGGATTGCCAGGGTTGGATGAGCCTGAAAGTATACATGTACAAGAATGGTGTAAGAAATTGTTGTATGGTAGTAATATTCGATTTTTGCACGAGTAAAAGCTTACCATGACCTTTTCGGCGCTCAAGCCATACTCGGCCAACGCCGTTTCGAAGTACTGATGTGCGATTGGCTATTGGGCTGCCCACTTGTTGTAGAACTCGTTCATCTTGGTTGGCTCAGCTGGAGGCTTGACAAACACCGCGTACGCGTCTTGGGTAACTACCGGTGTGCCAAGGTTTGTTGCCTGCATGTATCCAATATTGTGTGTGTTAACCATTGCAGAATGGTGCTGCATATGTTGTGTCAATAAATGAGGACTTACTTGCAGCATTGATTATCGAGAATAAATAGTTAAGTTGAAAGGAAGGGCCTAGGCTTAGTAGCCTAGGCCCGAACTTAGGTGTCGAGTAGGTTTCTCCTAGGCGAGGTATCGAGTGAGTTGAGAAGAAAGTTGGGGAATGATGGTTTCACTATAGGGTTCGAAGTACATATAGCATAGGAACCAAATAAGGTGCACCACCAACAACAGTTTAAATAACTACACTAACTACAACTACAAGCAGTTATAAAACATGACAAATATATTTCGACACGCCCCCATAATGCTTGTAGGTAGATATGTAGTTACGCCATTCAAAAGAATAGCAAGCAACAGCAGGTACCCCTTCCATCTCCTCACCCTCCTCCTTCCCCTCCCCCACACTGCTGCAAGAGCAGCAGAGAAGGGGGGGAAGTGAGGAGTGGTGGAGGGACGGCTGCATGTTGCCTCACACCCGCCACCCCGGTACCACTCCCCCTGCTCCCCCACATCCTCACACCCTCCCCCCCCAGCGGCAGCTGCAGTGGTGGGACTGAAAGAAGGAGGAGGGGAAGGGAGAGAGGTGACCCAACACTCCAACACCCTCCACCCCCATACCCTCCTCCCCACGGCTGCAGGGAGACAAAGGAGGAGGGGGTGGGCGGGAAGAAAGCCGCAGAGCGGAGAAAAGGTGTCGGTGCAGATGGGCCAGGGGCGGCTTCAGGGAGAGCAGGGGCGGAAAGGCCCGTCGCGTGCCAGTGCCACGGGGCGCACGACGGGTAGGAGAAGAAAGAGGGCCCGATCGTGTGCCTAGGGGCGCATGACGAGCAGGGCACCATCGTGTGCCACGGGGCGCACGATGGGCAGTTGAAGGGCACCGTCGCGTGTCACGGGGCGCGCGACGGGCAGAGTAGGAGTCACACACCCGTGGGCGGGACAAGGTAAAAATCGTCACGCGCCCTAGGCGCGCGACCGAAAAATCATAGCGGAAGCGTAGGGCGGGCCCACAGGCCAGGTCGTAATTAGCTCCGATAACATATCGAGAATAAATAGTTAAGTTGAAAGGAAGGGCCTAGGCTTAGTAGCCTAGGCCCGAACTTAGGTGTCGAGTAGGTTTCTCCTAGGCGAGGTATCGAGTGAGTTGAGAAGAAAGTTGGGGAATGATGGTTTCACTATAGGGTTCGAAGTACATATAGCATAGGAACCAAATAAGGTGCACCACCAACAACAGTTTAAATAACTACACTAACTACAACTACAAGCAGTTATAAAACATGACAAATATATTTCGACATTGATGTCTCGTGGGCGCACTCGGGTGTGTCCAGAGTTTGGTATACCGCCCTTTTCTCATGGTGTTCCATGATTTGGGCCTCGACGCCACGTTTGTTGGTACGTCGATAGATCCGCTTCACCAACGGCCCGTACAGATGTTCAAACATCGCTGATGAGTACTCAGACACGTGGCTAGCTCTCCTTATCGCTCCAGGGTAGTGTGTCATGAGGTGTGTTTTGATCAAACACCACTCTGATTTTTGCTCAGGAAAGGCATCCTGCAGCTCTTTGACCAGCCTGTTGGAGTGGGATCAATTATTGACAGCACTTGGCAAGGTGTGCATTTACAAAGGACCAGCAACATTGGGTGTAAGGTGTTATTGATCACACTTTTGAGTAATGGGTTCAGGATCCTTCGGGTGTTTTTACAGCACATAAACAGAAAAGAACAGTTAATCATGAAATGGAATGGTACCTATCATTCAAACCCTCTAGAGTCGACAGATCTCTCTCCGTGTGGCCGGGTTGCTTGGCGCAGAATAGGTACCAATCCAGGTACGCTCGGATTGCGCTCAAGCACTTCTCCTCCAGCGTGTCTGAGACGATGAAGAGGAGCACCTGGGGAGGGTGTGGGTTAGTGCAAATCTTGTGTATGCATTGTCCACAATAAGGCATCAGCAACAAAACGTAAGCTCCATAGGCATAAACAAACACGTACCATGAGCACCGCACGATGCTCGTATGCCGCAATTCGGGCAGAGGACGTGAAGTAGTTGGCTGACGGAAAACGGAGGTTAGTCATCCTCGTATCAGCGCGGATTTGAGCTAGTCGCCTAAAAATGGGAGTGCATGGGCGAAAGATAAGGCGGGCAGACGAAGGAACAGCAAAGGTGATTGGCAGATGGGGGATAGACGTGGCAGGGGAGTGAGTGAAGCAGCAGGGGTGATGGGGATGGGGCGAGCGAAAAACAGCAAGGGTGATTGGCAGATGGGGGATGGATGTGGCAGGGGAGTGAGTGAAGCAGCAGGGGTGATGGGGATGGGGCGAGAAAAAAACAGCAAGGGTGATTGGCAGATGGGGGATGTATGTGGCAGGGGAGTGAGTGAAGCAGCAGGGGTGATGGGGATGGGGCGAGCGAAAAACAGCAAGGGTGATTGGCAGATGGGGGATGCATGTGGCAGGGGAGTGAGTGTAGCAGCAGGGGTGATGGGGATGGGGCGAGCGAAAAACAGCAAGGGTGATTGGCAGATGGGGGATGTATGTGGCAGGGGAGTGAGTGAAGCAGCAGGGGTGATGGGGATGGGGCGAGCGAAAAAAGCATGGTGGGAAATGGACAGAGTTTAGGAGGCAGTAGGGTGTGACAGAATAAGTCATGTGGATGGGATGCTGATAGGAGAAGCAGATTTGGAAGGGGACTTACGCGTCGAACAAGGCGAGGCTCCGGTCGTATGACGCACGAACCGCAGCCACGATGTGGTGTAGAATGCCCAGGTCGGACTGGTGCATTATGTCAGGCATGATCGCTTGGTACGGATTCGCCCATGGCGCGCCAGGCACATCCCAATGCCAGAGTGCGCACTGCAAACAAATCGATCAACATAGTCGATTTTAGAAGTAGATAGTTTCAAGAACGCTAATATAATTAAGCATGTATGCACATACCTCAATTCTGAACGTGGAAATATGGGCCGTGGCCGTCTTTTCAGTTCCCAACTTGTCCCCTGCATGCTCCACGATCCAGCGTTGTTGGTCGACTGTCCTAGGCGTGTTCTCAGCAGTGACACAGTCAAGATGCTCTTGAAAGGGAGTGCAAGGATATCAACCATAGTTGTGGCGGTGCAAATGAGAGCGCCATGGCTGTGGGGGTGCAAAGGTGAAACCTATGGCAGCGGGGGCGCAAGAATGCCAAGTATGGTAGTGGGGGCGCAAGTAAGGCGGTCGGAATAGTGTCTTACCTTCTCAGCATAGCAGATACTGCAAGGACGAGCAGTGCCACCAGATAAGGTGCAGGTGACTTTCCCACTTTCGGGGTAATCACAGACCCATGTGTAAAGCATGGGTCTGACCACATGCTCCACTCCATTGGGGTCCTTGAGCAAGAAGCCACTGTCATGGAAATGCATGTTGTGGAACGAAAGGGGTTTGGTCATCATAATCACACGCTGATACATGGGGAATCTGCTTTGTTAAGAAATATATATATATAGCAAAAAAACAAGAGCAATGGGTTTTGCAAGAATGGCAAACATGGCAAGGGGGGGACACGCTTCTGTTACCACGTCATAATTGGGCGCCGGAATGGCACAGTGGGAGCCAGTGGGTAGACATTTTAGTGTAACACTAATTATTAAACAATGATCACCTTTCTCGCCCCGCAAGGAGCTTTTCAAGCATGGTCAATGCGGCTTGTTGGAAAAGGGCAGTTTTCTGACCGGGTGACATGGTAGTGGGGGGGATAGGGAGAGTTCCGAGCAGACAGTGCCCAGACGATGCCCAGCGCTTGCCCTGCCGGATGTTCCCCAATGTCATCATAACAGGCCAAGCCAATTTGCGCCCGTTTTCACTCAGGTGCATCACGTCGCTGTAGAGCATAATGGCCGCAACTACCTCACCTTCTCCCACATGATCCTGCAATTGGATATAGGGTCGAATAGAGGGGGATTGTCAGTCTCCAACCAAAAAGCAGGCGAAAGCAGTTGAGTAACGCAAGGATGAGGTTGGGTTGAGATGGAAGGACAGGCCTAGATTACACGAGTGTAGGCAATAGCAGGCGAGTAATAGGATTGTCAGGTGAGAGGTGTGTGAGAATGGAGTATAGGGCTGGAATACACAAGGCATGGAATCAAGAGCATGTGAGTGACGCAAGTATGAGGTGACAGTGTGCTACAAGGGTAATGTTTGACTAGACAAGACACAGAGAGGTGACTTGCAGGTGAGGAAATATGACAGGCATGGAATCAACAAGGCACGTAGGCAAGAACAGGTGAATAACGAAGTCATGAGGTGTTAGTTGCAGGTGCACAGATGCGGCATACCTGGGCATTATGCCACCATGTGCCCGTCTCTGGGGTGGAGTAGCGTCGCTGGCCGGTTTCAGGGTCAGTGTCCATGCGTGGCTTCAGCACAAAGCCGGGTGCATTGGCTGGGTCTCCAAACATGTCCGCCAAGGCCTGCGATTACATGGCGCATAGGGGCGGAACGGAAGAATAGATAAGCAGCAGAGGTCCCGAATAGCAGAGGAGTGGAACAGCAAAGGAGCGGAACAGCAGAGGAGCGGAACAGCAGAGGAGAGGAACAGCAGAGGAGCGGAACAGCAGAGGAGAGGAACAGCAGAGGAGCGGAACAGCAGAGGAGCGGAACAGCAGAGGAGCGGAACAGCAGAGGAGTGGAACAGGAGAGGAGCGGAACAGGAGAGGAGCGGAACAGGCGAGAAGCGGAACAGGAGAGGAGCGGAACAGGAGAGGAGCGGAACAGGAGAGGAGCGGAGCAGGAGAGGAGCGGAACAGAAGAGGAGCAGAACAGGAGAGGAGCGGAACAGGAGAGGAGCGGAACAGGAGAGGAGCGGAACAGGAGAGGAGCAGAACAGGAGAGGAGCGGAACAAGAGAGGAGCGGAACAGGAGAGGAGCGGAACAGGAGAGGAGCGGAACAGCAGAGGAGCGGAACAGGAGAGGATTGGAACAGCAGGAGATTGGAAATGTAGAGGAGCAGAACAGCAGAGGAGCGGAGCAACATCGAGATGGGCATGCAAGGGGGAAGTCACCTGCGCCGGATCTCGGAAAAACAACGTCTGCTCATCAAAGCCATCCACTTCGAAGGTTGCCACGCTCCACCCACGGCCCAGGCCAGCGAGCTCTTCGATTTTTGAACTTCGCCAACACCAGCTCCGCGAGCTCTGGATACATCAACAGCTGCAGTATCCCATAAATATCGACTTCCGCCATGCCCATCTTCCCATTGGCGAGGCGGACCAGATGGATGAAGCGCAATACTAAAGGATCCGTGGGGAATGGGGCCTGGGACTGTGCAACAACAGAAATCGGAGGTGCTGAAGCATTGCTGGTCGCAGTGTTGTCCTCGCCATTCAGATCTTCGAATGAAAGCGGTTGCGGGTTAGACCCGCAAGCAGAGGTGTCAGAGCTGCTCGCGTTGGATCAAATAGCCGAGGTCGCTGGCTCGTCCGCGTCACTAGGCTCCAGACGTGGCTCGGTATTGGTGTTGGACGGAGGCGGAGCATCCGCCACCATGAAGATATATTGCTCAGCCACCGTTCCAGTTGCAGCAGTTCCAGCAGCATACTTTAAGCGACAGCTGGACCTCCCCTTCTGCTGTCCAAAAGCCTTAGCGTCCTTGAACTGGTTGGTGCAAAACCGGCACGAAATCCACTCATGGCGTGTCATGACTACAGGTGGTGACGAAATCGCTATGTGTCAGACATTAGGCGAGAGGATTGACGATATGACTGGAGTTATGGAGCTTTGCACAAGGCGTTGCCAGTAGTGGTGGATAGATTAGTACATAGCAGAAAAGGTGAAACGAAAACCAGAGGTGACGCGACAGCAGTTTGAACTGGCAAAGTTTTGAAAAACGAGCGCAAACGCGATGCCGAGATCTAGGACACGTATCTGATACTAGAGTGTTGTCGAGGTGGAGGCGAAAGGTCGAGGAGCAGTGTAGTGCAGTGAACTTAGTCTAAACATTATCTTGGTATAAATTATGCACAAAACAAATGTCCAAACCAGAATGGGTACTATATTATTACGAAATGAATTGGAGAACTGTACGCTCACGCAAAAGATAACCATTCTACAAGAGGTATCAGACCAATCCCAGCTCAGGAATGCCTTGTTGCTTGTATCATTTTTATAACTTGACAGAATTCACCAGTAGTGCTCACTCGTTTTCTGAACAGAGTGTGCTCTTGTTTTCCGATCAGTCTGAAACATGTAGGGATGGTTCAAAGGTATAATATGGTCTCAGGTACCAAAAATCAGACCAATCCCACCTCAGCAAGGCCTTGATGCATGTCTCCGTTTTTCTGCCTGAGTGAATTCACCCCATGTGCTCACTGGTTTTGTGAACAGAGTGTGCTCTGGTTGTCCAATCAGTCTGAGACTTGTAGGGATGGTTCAAAGGTATCATATTGTCTCAGGTTCCAAGAATCATACCAATCCCAGCTCAGGAAGGCCTTGATGCATGTCTCTGTTTTTCTGCCTGAGTGAATTCACCCCATGTGCTCACTGGTTTTGTGAACAGAGTGTGCTCTGGTTGTCCAATAAGTCTGAGAATTGTAGGGATGGTTCAAAGGTATCATATTGTCTCAGGTTCCAAGAACCATACCGATCCCAGCTCAGGAAGGCCTTGATGCATGTCTCAGTTTTTCTGCCTGAGTGAATTCACCCCATGTGCTCATTGGTTTTGTGAACAGAGTGTGCTCTGGTTGTCCAATCAGTCTGAGACTTGTAGGGATGGTTCAAAGGTATCATATTGTCTCAGGTTCCAAGAATCATACCAATCCCAGCTCAGGAAGGCCTTGATGCATGTCTCAGTTTTTCTGCCTGAGTGAATTCACCCCATGTGCTCACTAGTTTTGTGAACAGAGTGTGCTCTGGTTGTCCAATCAGTCTGAGACTTGAAGGGATGGTTCAAAGGTATCATATTGTCTCAGGTTCCAAGAATCATACCAATCCCAGCTCAGGAAGGCCTTGATGCATGTCTCTGTTTTTCTGCCTGAGTGAATTCACCCCATGTGCTCACTGGTTTTGTGAACAGAGTGTGCTCTGGTTGTCCAATCAGTCTGAGAATTGTAGGGATGGTTCAAAGGTATCATATTGTCTCAGGTTCCAAGAATCATACCGATCCCAGCTCAGGAAGGCCTTGATGCATGTCTCAGTTTTTCTGCCTGAATGAATTCACCCCATGTGCTCACTGGTTTTGTGAACAGAGTGTGCTCTGGTTGTCCAATCAGTCTGAGAATTGTAGGGATGGTTCAAAGGTATCATATTGTCTCAGGTTCCAAGAATCATACCGATCCCAGCTCAGGAAGGCCTTGATGCATGTCTCAGTTTTTCTGCCTGAGTGAATTCACCCCATGTGCTCATTGGTTTTGTGAACAGAGTGTGCTCTGGTTGTCCAATCAGTCTGAGACTTGTAGGGATGGTTCAAAGGTATCATATTGTCTCAGGTTCCAAGAATCATACCGATCCCAGCTCAGGAAGGCCTTGATGCATGTCTCAGTTTTTCTGCCTGAGTGAATTCACCCCATGTGCTCATTGGTTTTGTGAACAGAGTGTGCTCTGGTTGTCCAATCAGTCTGAGACTTGTAGGGATGGTTCAAAGGTATCATACGGTCTCAGGTTCCAAGAATCATACCAATCCCAGCTCAGGAAGGCCTTGATGCATGTCTCAGTTTTTCTGCCTGAGTGAATTCACCCCATGTGCTCACTAGTTTTGTGAACAGAGTGTGCTCTGGTTGTCCAATCAGTCTGAGACTTGAAGGGATGGTTCAAAGGTATCATATTGTCTCAGGTTCCAAGAATCATACCGATCCCAGCTCAGGAAGGCCTTGATGCATGTCTCAGTTTTTCTGCCTGAGTGAATTCACCCCATGTGCTCATTGGTTTTGTGAACAGAGTGTGCTCTGGTTGTCCAATCAGTCTGAGACTTGTAGGGATGGTTCAAAGGTATCATATTGTCTCAGGTTCCAAGAATCATACCAATCCCAGCTCAGGAAGGCCTTGATGCATGTCTCAGTTTTTCTGCCTGAGTGAATTCACCCCATGTGCTCACTAGTTTTGTGAACAGAGTGTGCTCTGGTTGTCCAATCAGTCTGAGACTTGAAGGGATGGTTCAAAGGTATCATATTGTCTCAGGTTCCAAGAATCATACCGATCCCAGCTCAGGAAGGCCTTGATGCATGACTCAGTTTTTCTGCCTGAGTGAATTCACCCCATGTGCTCATTGGTTTTGTGAACAGAGTGTGCTCTGGTTGTCCAATCAGTCTGAGAATTGTAGGGATGGTTCAAAGGTATCATATTGTCTCAGGTTCCAAGAATCATACCGATCCCAGCTCAGGAAGGCCTTGATGCATGTCTCAGTTTTTCTGCCTGAGTGAATTCACCCCATGTGCTCATTGGTTTTGTGAACAGAGTGTGCTCTGGTTGTCCAATCAGTCTGAGACTTGTAGGGATGGTTCAAAGGTATCATATTGTCTCAGGTTCCAAGAATCATACCGATCCCAGCTCAGGAAGGCCTTGATGCATGTCTCAGTTTTTCTGCCTGAGTGAATTCACCCCATGTGCTCATTGGTTTTGTGAACAGAGTGTGCTCTGGTTGTCCAATCAGTCTGAGACTTGTAGGGATGGTTCAAAGGTATCATACGGTCTCAGGTTCCAAGAATCATACCAATCCCAGCTCAGGAAGGCCTTGATGCATGTCTCAGTTTTTCTGCCTGAGTGAATTCACCCCATGTGCTCACTAGTTTTGTGAACAGAGTGTGCTCTGGTTGTCCAATCAGTCTGAGACTTGAAGGGATGGTTCAAAGGTATCATATTGTCTCAGGTTCCAAGAATCATACCGATCCCAGCTCAGGAAGGCCTTGATGCATGTCTCAGTTTTTCTGCCTGAGTGAATTCACCCCATGTGCTCATTGGTTTTGTGAACAGAGTGTGCTCTGGTTGTCCAATCAGTCTGAGACTTGTAGGGATGGTTCAAAGGTATCATATTGTCTCAGGTTCCAAGAATCATACCAATCCCAGCTCAGGAAGGCCTTGATGCATGTCTCAGTTTTTCTGCCTGAGTGAATTCACCCCATGTGCTCACTAGTTTTGTGAACAGAGTGTGCTCTGGTTGTCCAATCAGTCTGAGACTTGAAGGGATGGTTCAAAGGTATCATATTGTCTCAGGTTCCAAGAATCATACCGATCCCAGCTCAGGAAGGCCTTGATGCATGACTCAGTTTTTCTGCCTGAGTGAATTCACCCCATGTGCTCATTGGTTTTGTGAACAGAGTGTGCTCTGGTTGTCCAATCAGTCTGAGACTTGTAGGGATGGTTCAAAGGTATCATATTGTCTCAGGTTCCAAGAATCATACCAATCCCAGCTCAGGAAGGCCTTGATGCATGTCTCTGTTTTTCTGCCTGAGTGAATTCACCCCATGTGCTCACTGGTTTTGTGAACAGAGTGTGCTCTGGTTGTCCAATCAGTCTGAGACTTGTAGGGATGGTTCAAAGGTAGCATATTGTCTCAGGTTCCAAGAATCATACCGATCCCAGCTCAGGAAGGCCTTGATGCATGTCTCAGTTTTTTTGCCTGGGTGAATTCACCCCATGTGCTCACTAGTTTTGTGAACAGAGTGTGCTCTGGTTGTCCAATCAGTCTGAGACTTGTAGGGATGGTTCAAAGGTATCATATTGTCTCAGGTTCCAAGAATCATACCGATCCCAGCTCAGGAAGGCCTTGATGCATGTCTCAGTTTTTCTGCCTGAGTGAATTCACCCCATGTGCTCACTGGTTTTGTGAACAGAGTGTGCTCTGGTTGTCCAATCAGTGTGAGACTTGTAGGGATGGTTCAAAGGTATCATATTGTCTCAGGTTCCAAGAATCATACCAATCCCAGCTCAGGAAGGCCTTGATGCATGTCTCAGTTTTTCTGCCTGAGTGAATTCACCCCATGGGCTCACTAGTTTTGTGAGCAGAGTGTGC